CAAAAGCCACAGTGGCTCAGAGAAACTCCAGAGGGAGGCACTCGCTCCTCTATGCTCAGAGCCCCACACTTATGGGGGGCCTCCACCCGTCCATCACCTTCCCTTACAGAGATAAGGATGTGGGACTGGGTACAGCAAATGTACTTCCAGGGGCTTTTTTTTTTTTTTTTTTTCTCTACAGGGAATTGCAGAAAAAAAAACCAAACAGATTGTCCCTTGTTGTGTCCACTCCCAAATCTTTCTGTCTCACACCGAGACAGGTTTAAATTGCTCTAAAGCCAAACCCTCGATCTTGGATTCTTGGATTCCTCCTGCTTTTCCACACAGAAGAGGGTCTCGTGATTAAATCAAATTCAGGAAAACCCACATCAGTTAGCAGTTCAGGAGCATCCCACACTTGGGGGAAGTGTTGTCATGTCAAGCAGATGAGGTCACTCACCGGTGTGAGATAGAGCAGTGGTCCTTAAACTTTAGGGAACTTAGAATCACTTGGAGAGCTTATTAAAACATTATGGGTCCCATCTCCAGAATTTCAGTAGGACTGTGACAGGGACTATAAATGTGCATTTAGGATTGTAAGATTTAGCAAATTAAAAAAAAATGCAAGATGCCTAATTAAGTTCGAACTGCAGATAAACAATTTTTTTTAAGGATAGGTATGTCCCCAAAGTACATGACACATACTCATCCTACATTTAAAAAAAATATTTTATTTATTTATTTGACAGAGATCACAAGTAGGCAGAGAGGCAGGCAGAGAAAGAGGGGGACGCAGGCTCCCTGCCGATCAGAGAGCCCAATGCGGGGCTCCATCCCAGGACCCTGAGACCACGACCTGAGCCGAAGGCAGAGGCCCAACCCACTGAGCCATCCAGGTGCCCCCATCCTACATATTTTTTATCATAAAATTAATTCACTGCTTATCTGAAATTACAATTGAACTGGGTGTCCTGAATTCTGGCAACATAATCTGCATTTCTAACAGGGCCGTGGGGATGAGGATGGTCCTGGTCTGGAGGTCACAATTGGAGCCATAGGTAATGACTCGTCTGAGTGCAGATCCCTAGGGAACACCAACCTTTAAACAACAAGAAAGTCTGTGAGCGAGGCAACAGAATTAGGAGTGTTTTCTTGAAACCCAAAAGGGAAAAAAGTTTTAAAGACACAGAGTGATCAACAGGGTGACTTGACAGAGAGAATCTGGGGGACTCTGAGAATTGAATAAAAGATGGAAAGGAGAAGTGAGTGGCAGAGGGGGGAATAGGAGGGGGGAGACAAACCATGAGAGACTGTGGACTCTCAGAAACAAATTGAGGGTTTTGGAGGGAAGGGGGGATGGGGGGTTGAGTGAGCCTGGTGGTGGGTAAGGAGGGCACATATTGCATGGAGCACTGGGTGTGGTACACAAACAATGAATTTTGGAACACTGAAAAAAAGTTAAAAAAAAAAAAAAAGAAATTACATTGGCCAACAGGAGGCCTTCGGGAATCTTCATCAAAGCGTTTTCAGGGCAGTGACGGGACAGGAGCCAGCTGGCAGTGGTAAACAGCAGGAGTGTCATGGTGGACATGACTATCTGCATGTGACTTTTTGGAGGGGCTTCTTTGTGAAACAGAAAAAAGGGGGATGTAGGGGCATTTGAAGGTATTTTTTTTTAAAGATTTTATTTATTTATTTGACAGACAGAGATCACAAGTAGGCAGAGAGGCAGGCAGAGAGAGAGGTGGAAGCAGGCTCCCTGCCGAGCAGAGAGCCCGGCGTGGGGCTCAATCCCAGGACCCTGAGATCATGACCCGAGTTGAAGGCAGAGACCTTAACCCACTGAGCCACCCAGGCGTCCCGAAGGTATTTTTTATTAAAGGGGATGGTGGCTATATTTTATGTCCATAGAGGAAGTCAGTATAAGGAACACTTGAGATTACAGAAGCTGGAGAAGAGCGAAGGGGCACAGGTCCGAGAGATGGCCACCTTCTGATGTTCAAGCGGGGAGGGCTCTCGGTTCTGTTCAGAGATCCATCCCGTAGAGCCCTCGGCGCCACTTGCCTTTTTTAAGTGGTCTGGCACAGAGGGGTCAGGTCTGAAGAGTCTGACAGTTTGCTGCCAACGTCTGTCCCTTTTTAAAGGGATTTAATAGGTTTTGGGTTCCCGCAGACCTTGATATTAGTTCTGGGGTGTGAGCGAACATTGGTCCTGCCATGTCTCCTATCTGCTCGCGTCATTGCTTGACACAGGCCCCTTGTGACTTGACTCTCTCCACTAAGTAATAGAAAAAATTGGTGTAATACATTCAATAACACAAACCCCACCATTAAAGCGTTGTTTTACTCTCTCATGTTAAGACGATCTCAGGTTCAGTTTGTTTAAAAGGTCAGAGCATCTCGAATTGCAGTCTTGGGAGCCTCTGCCACCGTGTTAGTTGTCAGAATGCATCCGGAAGCCAGGAATCTCTTCTAAGCCAGAGAGAACCGTTTTGAGAAATCCTAGAAGGAACAGGGAGCCTCTGAGGCAGAAGCACCACACCTCTTCTCCTCGGCTCGCTTCTTCACTGCTGGCTCAGCATGGGCTATGTATCTCTTGGCCTAGAAGACTTGGAGGTGGGTCAGTGACAAAAAGAATCAGAACTCTGCAAAGGGGAGGAGGTGTTCTTGTGAGGTTTCCAGGCAGATTCTCTAATACCTTCTCCCCCGCCCTGACCCACTGCCGTGGGGAAAGTTTAGGAGGTTTGGAGTGAACATGTGTATCTTATCCTCACTGTTATGGGGTACATATCCTTACTGTGTTAACTCCAGAATGTACCCTGCTTTATTCTTTTTCCATTTGCATTTGACTTAACTGTTTGTATGTAGCACATTGGAGATGTGATGCTTACTTTAAAATTGAATGTATTATCATTTAATAACATTTACTCAGTGTATATTATTTATATTATATTATTAAATAAGTATTATTTAACACATGACATCATTATTATTTAGTAAATAACAATATTACTGAGAATAACATTTATTAAAAGTTACTTAAACAAATAGAATTCAATTTCTATTAATATGAATTTAAAATATAGAAATGACTTAGTTTTGAAATGCAAAATCCTTGTTTTCTTGCACAATGAAATAACCAAGTATTGCATTTGAGAATGTCCACATATTGACCCTGTCCTTGTCATGGCCAGTGCCCCTGGATCTTTCTTTATTGTGAAAGTCTGAGCAAAGGGTTGCACCCCCTGGGGCCAGCTACAGTCTAGAGGGCACGAGCAATTTCTGCTCCAGCTCCTTCCCCAGATTAATGGAGGAGGCATTTGAGGAAACCAAATGTTAGAATTACAGGAAGTTGAGAGCTCCCCATCTCAAAACTGGGTTCAGCAAAGCATGCTACCTTAGTTCTGTAGTTACTTATTATGCCTATTTATTTCCTGAAAGATAGGTCAAGGTCATTGAGCTCCATAATTATGTCAGGAGTAATAAAATAGAAAGAAAATAACCTATTATATTGCATAATTCTTTGTCATAGTCATGGATGACATTATAGTAACTAATAAAGTTAATAAAAGTTAAAATTTAATAAAACCAAAACATCTGCAAAAATAGGCACCTATTAAATTGACCACTGACGTGATGTTTCATTTTCTGAAATTGTTCTCTAGTTTAGAAGTAACTAACAATTAAAAAAGAAGAAAGGGGCACATGGCTATATCAGTGGGTGAAGTGTGCCACTCTTTATCTTGGGCCTGTAAATTCGAGCCCCACACTGGGCGCAGAGATTACTTGAAAAAAAAAATTTTTTTTTAAATTTCAAATCATCACCATGAAGTGAAATATTTCATACATTTCATACATAAGTTAAAATTTGCAATCCCCAAACAAAACAATACACCTCACAGTTTGCACACACTCTCTTCTGCTGTCTTAAATTTAAATACAAAGTAACAACTCAGAATGAAAGAATTGAAGTAATTCCATTTCTGTTTCTTTCCTAAGCTATCATTGTTTACTTGGAATCTGCTGTTTCAATGCAGGGATGTGTCCTTCCACTGGAGCTGGGGCACAAACTGTCTAGAGGGGAGTTAGAAGTTTTTTTGTTTTTTTTTTTTTTTTTTTTAAGATTTTATTATTTATTTGAGAGAGACAGAGTGACAGAGAGCACAGGTGGATGTAGGCCTCCCACTGAGTGGGGAGCCTGACTCAGGACTCTATCCCAGGACCCTGGGACCATGACCTGAGCCAAAGGCAGATGTTCAACCGACTGAGCCACCCAGGCACTCCAGGAGTTGGAAGATTTTCTAAAGCGTAGGAATGTACTCTTGAGATAGACAAGTTCTCATGTGAGGGGAGGAAAACGGGGAGTTCTTTGAATTAACTTCCAAATAGAATACTGTGTTATTAGAGGATAAGTAATAAAACTATGTTAATTTGAAGCTTGCACATATATTATTTTTTTTTAAAGATTTTTTTTTAGTTATTTGACAGAGAGAGATCACAAGTAGACGGAGAGGCAGGCAGAGAGAGAGAGAGAGGGAAGCAGGCTCCCCACGGAGCAGAGAGCCCGACGCGGGACTCGATCCCAGGACCCTGAGATCATGACCTGAGCCGAAGGCAGTGGCTTAACCCACTGAGCCACCCAGGCGCCCCCATATATTATTATTTTTAAAAGATTTTATTTATTAGAGAGTGCATGAGCACGATGGGGGAGGGGCAGAAGCAGACTCCCAGCTGAGCAGGGACCACCTGAAGGTGGGGCTTGATCCGGGATCCTGAGATCATGACCTGAGCTGAAGGCAGACATTTAACTGACTGAGCCGCCCACGCATCCCTATATAGTATATTATTAAAACTCAACTGTAATCACACCAGTTGTTTACAATTTAGACCACCAGTAAAGTGTTTTTTGGGAAGGAGTATTCTGTCACTGGATTGTTTAGAATTGCTGGTGGTTGGTGACAACAAAAAGCAGGCTGACTTTAATGCTTTATTGCTTCTTAATAACTCCTTTACAGATAATGCACTTCTTATTGCCAGCAGCTGAGCCTGAAGAGGTTTAAGTGAACATGTTGGACTTCTGCTTACAGGCGACTGACTCAGGTGGGAGGAATACTCTTTCTTGCTCTATTTCTTTCCTCATCTCTGCAGTGTTTTAGGAGGACATGATGGGTAGAGCTCTAGCACCTTCTTCCATCATGAGGGGAACTTGAGGTTGGAGGCTAGTGATAGGGTAGAGCAGAAAAATTGAGGACCCCGGTCCCTGCTTGTGTGGACAATACTGAGTAGCCCCTGATGAGTCATGCCCTTATAGAATCCCCTCTCATTGGGTTAGGATGAAACCCGTGACTTGCTTCTTCTAATCAGTGGGACATGGCAAAGGAGGTGGAATATCACTTCCACAACAACACTTCCTTATAGGGCAAGGGCGAAAGAATTTTGTAGATGTAATTAAGGTCCCTTATCAGTTGACTTTGAGTTCATCAGAAAGGAGATTATTTTGGGTAGATTTGCCCTAATCAGGGGAGAGGGCCTATGCCTTCCCTGAATTCAGAGACTCCAAGCAGCAGAGACTCTTTTCTCTCTGTTGCTGTCCTTGAAAAAGTAGTGCTTGATGAATGTTACAGCTACAAAGAAATGAATTCTACCAAAAATTCAGTTCTGAGGGAGCTGGGAAGTGGATCCCTGGCCCCCCCCGCCCCCCACCCCCCGCCAGGCTCCTGATGACGTTACCGCCCAGCCAACACCTTGGTTTAAGCCTTAAGAGGCCTCGTAGCTAAGCCAAGGCCTGACTCCCCACTCACAGACACTGGGAGATAATAAAAGTGCATTGTTTGGAGCTGTTAAGTTAGTGCTAATTTGTTAGTGTAGCACAGACACTAATATATTGGTGTCTGTGTTGCCGTTGTAACCGCCAGGAATCCCTACCTCCAGACTCCTTTTACATGAGCAAGAATTAAATTTCTTACTTCTTTAAACGATTATAATTTTACATTTTCATTTATAGGCAGCTGACCCTCACCTTAGCTGATTCGTGGGGTAATGAGGAAGGGTTTCTAGAAGATGAGTCATTGGTGGTTGATCTTAAAAGTGGATACAATTTCAGAAGGTGGAAACAGGGGTGTCTGTCTGGAGGTAGAAAATAATTTTCATGGGGCAGAGTGAATGAGAATAAATCATAGGTGTTTTGAAGAAATAAGGAACAGTTTCACTAGATTGAATGAGATGAGGCTGGAAAGGTAGATTAGAGCCGAATCACAAAGTCAGAAGCACTTGGAGATTATTTTTCAAGCAATGGAAAGCAGTGGAGATTTTCTGACCAGCGTGGTGGCATGAGCAGAGCTACATCTTATTTCAGAAATGCGGTACGAGTCAGTTTTCTTCAGGTTGTGGAAACATATCATGAAGTAGATTTTGTGTCAAAGAGATATGGGAAGAGAAACTGGGAGGAGAAACAGGAACTTAAAACAGGAGCCAGAGAATGAGAGACTCATGTGTTAAGGGCTATGTGTCTTGTTATTGGACTTCATTTTCTGCTGCGAGAAGCTGCTCTTGGCTCAAGCATTGCCCCTTACAGTTGACCACCTAAGGGGAAAGAAGGGACTTCCCTTCCAGCTCTGGTTGAAGGTGTCTCTGCTGGAAGCTGCACTTTGAATGGACAACCTTGGAATAATCGCAAAGACCAATGGGCAGGGTATGATGATTGGCCTGAGTGTGTGTGTGTGTGTGTGTGTGTGTGGTGTCTGCTACTAGAAAAAGAGCCTGGGGAATCAAAACAAAATGTTTAGTGCAATTTGAATTTCACGGTTCTGTCTTTTCCTATCAGGGTCTCATGGACAAATGACATACTCTTATGATTATACCCCACTAGGGGAATAAAATTTCAGTTGGATTTATATTTAGTATAGGAATAACGGTACACACAAATGATTATTCATACTTTTACCAATGATTTCTCCTTACCTCTGTCAATGTCATCCAAACTCTAAGCTATATAATTAAAATTAGTTTCCACTATACAAGTTTTTAATCCTCAATTATTAATTTATTTTATGTCCAAAGGGTGTAAAATACTGTGTTGTGCTTATCCATCACTGAAAGAAAAGAGACGTTCAGCATAGCTATTTAAATATACTTCCGGAGTGCTTGGGTGGCTCAGTCGGTTAAATGTCCGACTCTTGATTTTGGCTCATGGTCATGATCTCAGGGACCTGGGATCGAGCTCAGTGGGGAGTCTGCTTGAGGATTTTCTCCCCCTGCCCCTCTCCCTGCCCTTTCTCTCAAATAAAGAAATAAATCTTAAAAAAGAAGAAATGTACTATAAGTTCTTTGAATAATTTCAGCGAAATACTAACTCATTGCTTAAGAAAGCAATATTCGTTTCAAAACAAGTAATTGTTAAATAAAATCTGAAGTCATCTAAGAAATATATTATTTTAACCTGTACCTTTTACCATATATACTTTAGGTACCTGTAAAAAGTTTGGGAAGTTTAGGGTTTGTTTGTTTGTTTGTTTTAAAGTAAGCTCCATGCCCATTGTGGGACCTGAACTCACAATCCTGAGCTTAAGACCTGAGCCAAGTTCAAGAGTCTGACCCCTAACTGACCGAGCCAAACAGGCACCCCTAGGGTCTTTTACTAAATTCTTGGCTATATTGATTGTCTCTACATTTTATCTGGAAATATTCAAGCATATAGAGTTGACTCAGATTCTTTCATTGACATGATAAACACCCATCTGAGGAATCGAAGATGCCAGCATTTAAAAATGCCTGAAACACAAATTTCATTTTTCACAATGTGGCTGAACTACTTTCTGGAACGCTTCCATCGGCTACTTAGTGGGTGCAGCGGATACTTATTACCACTAGGTGCTACTCTTCCTCCATCATATACGTATCTCCAGTCTCAAAAGCAAGACAGATGCAAAACCAACAGAGTTCTTTATTTCCTGACGGCCTATTTAAACACAAGCTAAAACTTTGCCTTGCATATTTACTCATCATTGTACCAATACAGTATCTCGAAAGTGGTTGGCCAAGCATTCGACATTTTGTGGAAAGTGAAGCTTATCCCCGCTTTCTGCAGTAGCATCCCACAGCACGTTTCAGAAAACTGAAGACGATCAATACCTCTACTTGCTATTAATTCATATCAATGAAAGGAAGCTAGAGGGTTATAATGTCATGAAAAAGACAGTTGACATGCCCATGATTTCTCGCTGAAAAGGTGGCATATTATAGTATCTACACCATTTTACATGTGAGACAGTAAAAAAATAGAACTTTAAGTTATTATATATTACAAATCACCCAAAGGCATTATTATTGATCTATATCTGCAAAGGAGGAAAATGTATGGGATCTGTTTATAGTCTCATGCTAAATAGCTTGAGCTAGATGATAAGTAGCTGATAGGAATCCCTGTTTGTTCAGCTTTTCTGGAAGGATTTCTCCCACCCAGTGCTTGTGGATAAGCACATCGTAAACATTTTTGAAGATAGGGAGGACATAAACCACTCTCATATTTATGTTCACTGGGCCTTCAGAGAAAAGATTTTATCAGGGCATCGGATTGAAAATTTAGCAATTCTAAATATTAAAATTTTTAAAAATTCTCTTCCCACTGGATAAAACAATTTGAGGTGGGAAAAAATGAAAAGCTAAATAAATGTGATTTTTCCAAAAAAAAAAAAACAAAATAAGCCAATTGGGCAAATTAGATCCTTGGAACATATGTCTTCTTCACGTCTTCCCTCAGATTCCCCAGTCCAGTTTAGCTGTTCACGCACTGACTCATTCATGCACTGGCCAAAGTTTTACTGAGCAAACTCACGTGTTTCAGATACAAAAATAAAATGGAATGGCCTCTGTGCTGTGAAGGCTTGAAGTTGACGGTGAAGTGGGGCTGGCAAGAAAGAGAAAGAGAGTCAGATTCGTAAGCCGAGAGTTAGCACAGTGACAGCTCCCGGGATACTCTCCTTTGAGCAGGATGGTATGAATAGAAGGATCCTTTGGGGACTTTCACATGCCTTGAGACTAAGGGGACAGACACTTCCCATTGTCTGGACGATGTGTTCTTGAACCTGCTGGTTGCTGTGCTGCCCCCCACCTGGTGGTCCCACAGGGAGGCTGTGGCCCTATGACTGAGTTTGGGCCAAAGAGATTGATGTGGAAGTATTGGGCGGGACGCCTGGGACAGGTGCCTACCTTCCTCCAGGTTACCAGCACAGGTCACTGTCAGGGGCGGTGATACGACTCCTTCTCATTGTAATTGGGTCATTGGAAATATAATCAACACTGGTTTTTGTCTTACTCGTATCTCTTGAGTCTCGTTTCCCTGTTAAGGAACTATTTTGGTTAGAGGAATAAGGACCTGCTTTTTGTTCTCACTTTGGAGTTAGGATTTTAGTGTTTAGCCAGACGGAAATAGAAATAATATGATGATCAAATCCAGCAATCCAGCCCCTTTCACACCAGCAAGCGTACAAGTCACCCACAAAGGTTACTTTTTTGAAGGTCGAAAGAGAATTGAAGTGAAAGGAATATTGATTAATCCAGGGGAAGCCGAAAAGGCTCTGTTCTTCCGGTAGCCCTGAAGCAGCGGGCTCCAGGCATGTCATGTTAATAAAGGAGGCGAGAGACGCACTGAGAGACGGCAAAGGCGAGAGGTGGGAAATGATCTTTCTATTATTCCCTCTTGGTTAGAAACCCTGTTATGTGCTCTGTTGGTTCCCTGAACACCTCGTTTGAGGAGAAAAGAACAGTGAAGCATAATCCTATGTCTTCAAGTGCTATTTTGAGAAGGCCCCACTCATGTCCTCATTTCCCTCCTTGCACCACTTGGATACATTCCGTCGTTTTAATCACTCCCTTGCCTACACCTGCCGCTCTCTCCCTGGGTATGTTCAACTCTGAGCCTCACCTGAGTAGCTGGAAAGAGCTGGCAGAAAACCAAACAAACACATGCCTTTTGATGTTCTCGGACAGGGTGCGCAGTTACTGCCTTATCCTGCTGACAGAACAGAGAGTTCCCTCGCTACTCCTCTGAACCGAACATCAGAAGTTTGGTCAGAACATTTAAATACTTAACACACATAGTCAGCCTTCCTGAGGTGCTCTCACAAAACACGCAGGATAGTCATCTGGTCACTTGAAGCTGCTAACCAGGGAAAAATACTCCTCTTAAATTAAAAAAAAAAAAAATAGGGCTTATTTGAAACTTAGGACATCAACTAAGTGATTACATCAATATTTTAAACATATTCAGTTTAAGCACTTTGGATATGCACACGTTATTCTGTCTATGCTATTTTTTTTCTTAGTAAACATTTTCTAGGTAGTAGGTAGAAGGGGAAAAGTGAAACTGAATCCATGTTCTTAATCAGTTGAATTCATTCATTCAATCGGTATTTTTTGTGTGAACACTGTGAGTGTGATAAACATAGGGTTGTTTATTTATTGTAAAATTCGTGTGATGTTTTCCTTCTCTGCCGAGGAGAGGAAGGCTGCCTGCCTTAGACACGGCAGTGTCCCCAGAACCCGGCTCAGGGCCTTGCACGTGACAGGCACTTCAGGCCTGTTGACAGCTACTTTCACTGTGCATACAACATGAGTCCTTGGGGCCAGTTGGGATGGGTTGATATAATGTCTAGTTAGAGGGCTAGAAGAATTGGAAGGATGATGGAGATTCTTTTAGGAAAAGGGATCGGATAGTCCAAATATGTATAAAATTCATGGAACAACCCTCCCACTCTCCTTGGGATATATTAAAAACACCCGGTCCTGTGTTAAATTGGGTAGGGGAAAGCTAAGCTTCCAGATTGTGATGATGTCACACAGTGGGACAGTTATAAATGAGAGCTGCTTCTTTCTATCTTTAGTATCCCTATATTTCTATGGCTGAGATATTTGCAAACAGTGATAAATGAAGGGTGATAGACACTTTTGGGGGCATGGCTTAATTGTAATTAATCAAAGGGCTGATGAAAGTTTGACTGCTTCAATTTTTTATTTTATTTTTTTAAAGATTTTGTTTATTAGAGAGTGTGTGAGAGAGACAGCATGAGGGGGGAGGGTCTGAGGAAGAAGCAAACTCCCCACTGAGTGGGTAGCCTGCCGTGGGGCTTGACTCTGGGACTCCAGGATCATGACCTGAGTTGAAGGCAGAGACTCAACCAACTGAGCCACCCAGGTGCCCGTGACTGCTTCAATCTTTTTTTTTTTTTTTAATTACCAGACTTCATTTCTTAGAGCAGTTTTAGGTTTACAGAAAAATTGAAAAAAAAAGTACAAAGAGTTCCCATAAACTCCCCACCTCTGAAGTTTCTTCTGTGTTTCCATTGGTGTAATGTATTTGTTAGAACTGATGTGATGATGGATACATTAGTTTAAACTGAAGTCCATATTTTACATTAGAATTTACTCTGCATTATAAAATTCTATGGATTTTGCTAAATACTTAATGATTGCCTCAGTTTTTTTTTTTTGCTTCAGTTTTTATCTAGCATAAGGGCTCAATAATATATGATTTTATTAGAATGAACAGGAGAGAAACCAATATAATTAAAAAATCAATTTGTACAATAAAATGATTTAAATTATGTGGATTGGCACTGGATTTTTAGTAGGCTTTTCATTCCATTGTAATGTACTTATAAAACTAGATTTATTAGTAAATGTTCACTTGTTATACTTGTATCGTTGGATTTATTTAAGTAAATGAATAAAAATGATTATAAAACACTTTGGAAATATTTGATCATAACGAGAGCATGGCCCTCACATTTAGTCATGTATTTAACAACAAGAAGAAAATCCTGCCTTTTTTTTTCCCCCCCAAATCTGGTAATCACTAGGTATGTGGACATTTAAGGCATCATTGGTCTACTGTTTGCCATGTATCCTGGCACATGGGGAATGTATAAGGCATATTAGCTATTGATTATGATTGTAAGTTCTCTAAAATTAGAGGGTTTGTTTTTGTTTTTGTTTTTAAAGATTTTATTTATTTATTTGACAGAGAACGCAAGTAGGCAGAGAGGCAGGCAGAAAGAGAGAGAGAAGCAGGCTCTGCACTGAGCAGAGAGCCCGATGCGGGGCTTGATCCCAGGACCCTGGGATCATGACCTGAGCTGAAGGCAAAGGCTTTAACCCACTGAGCCACCCAGGCACCCCAAAATTAGAGGTATTAAATCAAGTTTTGATCCCTGAAAATGGGAGAGGAAATTAGAAAAAAAATCCTGTTTATTTTTGCATAAGAAGTTGGTGAGGCAGTTGTCTGAAATTATAGAATCTTAGAAATAGAAAGGAAGGGGGGTCCTGGGTGGTTCAGTTGGTTAAGTGCCTGTCTTCGGCTCAGGTTGTGATGTCAGGGTCCTGGGATCCGAGCCTTGTATCAGGATCCCTGCTCAGTGGGGAGCCTGCTTCTCCTTCTCCCCTCTGCCTGCCACTCTGCCTACTTGTGCTCTCTTTCTCTCTCTCTCTCTGTCAAAAAAATGTATCTTAAAAAAAAAAAAAAAGAAATAGAAAGGAAGTAGATCATCTACTGTACCTTCTTCACCCAAATTCTGAATCCCTTTTATGTCAATTGTTTTCAGCGGGCCTAGAGCTTAGATCTATCACAGGAATGGGAATACAATTCTTGTTGAAGTGCTGTTTCCCATCAATGGGTGGCTTCAGTTGTTCAAAAGGTTTTCATAGCTACACCTGAATTTTCCTTTTTAACTTCTACTTGTAGATCCTAGTTTTGCTATTTGGTATTGGGAAGAATATAGCTGCCGTGCTACCTCAAATAGTAACCCCCTCTAGGCGATTCTACTATATGCTAGGCTAAACTAAAAATCTCTTGCCATTATATTGTTTTTGTATTCCTCAAAATCTTGCTTATGCTCTTTGAAATAACCGTTGCGTATTGAAATAACTTTTTCTTTATTTGTTGTTATTAGTTGTGTTAACACTGAACATAAGACCTACACTCTTAGCAAAACTTTGAGTACATGATATGGTATTGTTAACTATAGGCACTGTACTGTACTGTAGATCTCTAAGGATTTATTCATTTTGTGTAATTGCACTTTGTGCCCTTAGACTAACCTCTCTCTATTTCTCCCTACTTCCAGCCCCTAGGAACCACTATTTTGCTCTGTTTCTGGGAGTTTGACAGGTAAGTGATATCATGTAGTATTTGTCCTTTCGTGTCTAGCTTATTTCACTTGGCATAATGTCCTCCAGGCTCATCCATGTCCCAATGGCATGATTTTCTTCTTTTTCTAAGGCTGAATAATATTTCATTTAATGTATATACCACATTTTCTTTATTCATCCATCAATGGATATTTAGATAATATAAGCAAAAATAGACAAGTGGGACTATATTGAACTAAAAAATCTTCTGCACAGAAAAAGAAACAATCAACAAAATGAAAAGGCAACCTATGGAATGGGTGAAAATATTTGCAGATCTTATATTTGATAAGGGTTAATATCCAAAACACATAAGAAACTTCTATACCCTAATAGCAAAAAAACAAATAACCTACTAAAAAGTAGGCAAAAGAATTGAATAGATATTTTTCCAAAGAAGACATCCAGATGGCCATTGAAAAGGTATATGGAAAGGTGCTCAACATCACTAGTCATCAGGGAAATGCAAATCAAGACCACAATAAAAACAACTCAAAGTTTTGATGTCTACAATAAGACATAAATACTGGTTTTACTATCAGTTACTGTGTTTCTATGATTGCATGCTCAGCTTTTCTCTGTAAAATGAGGGATTTGATTTGAATAATTTCTAGGGTTCTTTCCAGCTTTTAAAAGCTATTGTATTTGGGGTGTGTGTGTGTGTGTGTGTGTGCGTGTGTTACAGATACTCCATTTTATTTGCTTCTTGAACTTGCAACTGCTGCAGAGTTCCAGATAATTTTTCACATGAACTTCTGCTAAGCTGCATCTTAAGCAACTGTATGATACACATTTATCCCTGCTACTTTCTCTCTTTGTTTCTTTTTGTTACTGAAGCCTGTGTGGATGATTTTGAATGTTAATTCCATATTTGTTGGATTAGTGAGCCCAGCAAGATGTGTGTCATCTATAAATTTTGTTAACATGATTGTCGCATATTCATTTAATTTGCTGATAAAAGTTTAGTAGAAAAGACCTTAAACAGAACCTTGTTCCTACCCCTTTCTCTTCACTTTGACATTGTTCCATTCATCAACAATCTTGAATAGACCTATCCTACCAACAATGTGCCCCTGTAATTGATATTTAAATCCAGCCTCTCTCCCTAAATTGTCCAAAAAGATATTATGATTGAGCTCTCAAAGAACTTGTAAAAATATAATATACTATGACGCAGTATTACTACATTGCATGAGATTAGCAATGCAGCCCAAGAAGGAAAAGTGTTTTGTTAGAGATGACTTGGTAGAAGTCATCTGATATTGTTTCCAGCAGTCAGTTCTCGCTCTAAAAAGTCCACAAACAATCTATTTAATAATCCATTCTGGAATTTTTTGGAGGAGGAGGTCATGTTTCTAGTCTTTATGGTAACTATCTTTTCTCTCTCCTTGGAAAGCTGAACAACATTGGTTTGTGTCTCATTCATGGGTAGAAAAGGTCGATCCTTTAACACTCTCTTCATATATAGCCTAGAGACTGAAGGCATAGAGGGGTACATAGGTGGGTGTGAAAAGTGATTTTTTGGAGGGGGCTGGGCATTGTCAGGTTAGTTATGAAATGCTTTCCTCCCCTGTGATCTCATTATACCTCCTTAACGGAGTCATACATAAATGATACATAAAAGATGAATTAATAATAAAGAACATCTTCATTAATAAAGGAGCATTTAGATACAGTGCAGTGTGTCCACATGCCTACTGTACCTGGGTTTATGAAGAGGGCTTCTTCCTGTCCCTAAGCTACACAGGGACCCCCTGTGAGAGAGAGACCCCCGGAGCTCATCTATTCACAGCTTGGACTCCACAAGTCCATCTGAAGAACAAGTGACTAAGGGGGCTGAACCTGCAGTTGCAGACGCTCTTAACACTACATGCATGTAGTTTCAGTTCTTTACAGCTTATGAAGCTGTGGCTTTTTGCTGACTGACAGCCATCTTTCCTCAAAAGAAGCTCAGTTTCATGAAATAGGACACTGTTTGGAAGGTGTGGTGGTTAATTTTCCATGTCAACTTGGCTTGCCTCTGGTGCCCCATTGTTTAGACAAACGCTGGTCCAGAAGTGGCTGTGAAGGTATTTTGAAGATGTGATTAACATTTACAATTATTTGGCTTTAGTAAAGGAGATGATCTTCCATAATGCAGCTGGGCCTCATCCAGTCAACAGAAGGTCAAAAGAACAGAAGACTGAGGTTTCCCAAAGAAGAAGAATTCCCAAAGAAGAAGAACTCAAGGCTCGAGTTTCCAGCCTGCTGGCTCTACAAAAATTTTGGACTTACCCGCCCGCTAATCATGTGAGCTAATTTAAAATCAGTCTTTATCTATCAAATGACAGATATTTAGATATAGATATCCATCCTATTGGTTCTTTTCCTTTGGAGGACGATGACTGACACAGGAAGGTATCTTCCCGCCCTATGATGTTCCTGTGTGACACGTGAAACTCTCAACAGCCCCACGGGTGGCCATTCACTCTGATACTGTGCAGATTCTCATGGGCCATAGACCTCTGGAGCCACGGTGACTTCCAACAAGATCAGGCACATAGCTGGCGCTTCATAAATATTTAAAGGGAAGTTGAATGCAATGTAAAGAGGCGCTAAACTTCTTTCATATGGTTGTTCTCTCTTCCAGTAATGTCTGCTACAATCGATGTACAACTTCTGTTTCCTTTGCAGGGCACACATGTGTTCTTTCTCTTGGGGACCTGCTGGACCCCAGGAGCTGCGGGGAAACACCGCAGTTGCTATCTGAGCTGGTGCTCTTGCTGCTCTGCCCTGGTTAGGCCCGATTCTTCATCACTGCCTGGCTTAGGCTCCTGGGCTGGGCACAGCAAGGAAGTCACTGTCTTTGGATTTTCAGGACACCTGGAGTTTCCTTAGACTTCCTTTATGCCGCCTAACCTCTGCCCACTGCCACCTAGACTCCCCCTCCCAGGTGTTGCTGGTGGCTGAACTTTTAGTTCGGAATAAAACCAAGCCATTTTATTAATTGTCAGCTGAGTTGCAAAGTCTAGGATGACAAATGAGCCCCGAGACTGAAACCTCTGAGCTGTCTAGATTTTGACTAAATCTTTGAACCCGAGAGCGAATTTATTTTGGAAATGGCTGACTTCTGAAAGGAAGAGGGAATAGCAGATGAAATGCTGTAGACCTTCAGACACTACCAATACTTCTAGAGAGTATCAGTTAAAATACTCTTAAGACACTACAATACTCTTAAGATACACTTAAGACACTACTGATACTACTAGGGATGTCATCCAAGAGAAGAAGGTAATGAAACTCTCAAGATAAGCATATTCAGCAAGGAACTGTTTGGATTATAGAAGTATGATGGAGACAGGAACTGGAAGGTGGCACCATGTTTATGATGTGCCCATTATCTGCCAGACACTGCGAAATGCAGCGCTCTCCATCATCTTATTTAATCTCATAAGAGTCCAGTGTTTTTGCTGTATTTTAAGATAAAGAGCTGAAATTCACAATATTTAAATAATTTTGCCCCAACTCTTAGATTTTAAATAACAAAGCCAGCAGAAGCATGTTGGGTTCACCCAACTCCAAAGTGTATGATTTTCTCATACACTTGAGGAAAAGAAACTTATTTTCTAAACATAAATCATAACAGGCAGTATCAATTTAAAGTTTAGCAGAGTTTGAGGCCATTTCCTTACTGTGAAATATCATGCATATTTCCGCAGTAACTGGAAAGCAAATTAGGGAAAGTTCCCTCCCCCCACTTAATTTTATCAAACAAATGATCTTACAATTATATAAGAAGTCGCCCATTATAGTCTAGCCAGTGGCTTGGCTTCTTGTCCAAACCTCACAGTGAAATATGCAAACTTAATGGAACCACATATTAAAATCTCTGCGGTTGAATCAGCCCTTCCTTTTTCTGCAAAACCTAACCTCAGTACTATTCAGCATATAGAGAACTCCAGGGATGAGATCCTTAAAGCCCAGTGTCAAAAAGTGAGTACCTGATAATCATCACCTTAATTTCACGCTTTTGAAAACTGGCTTTGTCTTAATTTATTCTCAGACACGTGTGGAGAGGTACCTTGTTTTATAGCCTTGTAAAGAGATCGACCCCAAATCTGGCATACGTATAAAGTAACGCAACGATGTTCTTCTGTAAACAGGCTCAGAAGAAAATTCCTCAACAGATAAATCAGTGAGCGATTCCGACATTTCCCAAATAAGCATATAGTCTCCAAGGTGATTATTTTGAATGACAACCCTCCTGTGGGGCATGAAATGGAGTAGATTTGACAGGGCTGCTGACAAGCCGGAAGAGCACTGAACGTTGAGTCACAAAGCATCTGTTGGCATCCCTGCCGGGCATCCATCTCCCTGAGAGGCACCTTTGCCTTCTGCTGCTCCCTGAGGGGCAGTGGAAGTCACCTAACCTTTCTGAGCTCCTGCCCTCATTTGGGACACTGTTGAATGACACCTGCTGACACGGTTGTGATAATCAGGTGAAACTGACAATAGGAAACCCTTCAAAACAGCAGGGTGCAGGAACAGAATGTGGTAACTCATTCATAGTTAACCTCCGGGTGAAGTCCCACAGTCCGAAACCAAGGCCTTCAAGTTCTTAGGAAACATCAGTGATGTTAATAGTTAGTCTTGATGAGAAACTCCAGAATCACCTGTGTGTATGTGTGTGAGGGCCAGTTATTTCTGGGCTCAGCTTGATATGGAAAGCTACCAGTAGAATTCATTTGTTCAATTTCACAAGCCCCAGAAGACCAGCGGATGCTGCTTGCTTTGGAATACTGGAACCAGGTCTCAGCAGTTTTCACCGACTCACTTTATCCTTGTCTAGAGTTAATGAGATCAGAGTAAATAAACATACTAAGAACCTAGTGCTTTGCAAACCTTTATGGTATTTTAGGAGGCAGGTATGAAGTCATATTTATCTTGTGTAGGACTGGGTTGGGTGAAGAGTAGAACAATAGTGAGTCCATTCTATCTGTGGGCTCAAATGCGTCCTTGGAGATTTCTCCTGGAGGCAAGATTGTGCTACAGCTAGAAGGCAGAAGGGAGCCAAGACTTCACTCCTTCCTAGTCCTAGTCCTTCTAGGGCAGCTCCTTTGAGTTTTCGGTCACCACCCCTATAGCTCACAAGCACAGGGAGCTTGAGGGCCATTTCCGCTTCTACCAGGGATAAACGGCTGCATTATGTTGGTTAAGTTACCAAACCTCTCTTTGCCTTGGATACCTCATTGGTAAAGTGGGGAAGATAATAGAACCAATTTCCTTCGTGCATGTAAAGCATTTGAAGAAGTGAGAAGCTGGAAAAATGGCATTTAAAAGCATCAATTCTGAAGATAGATTGCCTGAGTTCAAATCCCAGCTCCACCACTCATTTGCTCATATGCTCTTCTAAGAATTGGGTAGTTATAGGACTAGCCTCATAGGTGAAATGTGCCAGTGCCTGGGTGGATCTAACAGGGTCAGCACATAGGAAGTGCTCTATGGATGCCTGCTGTTATATTATTACTTGTCTTGGACAAGTAATAGGGAAAAGTCTTGGACACTGTTTGTAAGGCTATGGAAATAAAAAGTTGAAAATTTCCAACATTATTAATGTTTTTTCCTGTGTTTGGTTCTATTAAGTATAAAAGTCACATCATAGTGATGTTGGGGTTTCTTTCATTTTCTAGGCCATGTCCTAGACGTTGGCCATGTCCCTCATTTAACATTTTCTCTCTCTCTTTTTAAGGATTATATGTTGGTGTATATTTTACTGAGTCTTTATTAAGACTATTCTATACCCGGCTTTACTTCAAGTTCAGTATCTAGGTCTTTCCTTTTTCTGAAAGCAACAAGTCATTGAATTTTAAAGGCTGCATATGGAAGGGACTCATACACATTGGGAGGATGATAAATGACCAAAACATTTGTTTGGAATAATTTCCGATTCTATCTCTTCTCCCCTCTCCTCGCAGCATTCATTTCAGTGTTTTTTGCGATTCACTTATTCCTTCACTATTTATTGGGAAGGCTTGTCAGGCACTCTGACAGGCAGTGGAAAATCGTGGTTTTGACATTTGAATGGTGTTTTATAGCTTATTGATCGTTTATGTTAAATTCATTCAGTCCTCCGAGGCACTCACTTCATTTCACTCAGCTCTTCTTCCCCTTTTAACTTCATACTTCTCATAACTGTCCTTATTTCCTTGCTCAAATATTTAGTGTGCAGAATATTTGCCAAGTTCGTGGGGGGCACAGTAGGGAGGAAGTTGACTGGAGGAGAAGGTGGTACATGGAGGGGAGATAGAAATCAGATGAGAATGTAGATCAGGGATGTTTCCAATACCTTACACTGTAGGGTGAAAGGACAAAGCACTCTTATTTAGGAAAGTCCTAAGAATCACTTGCAGAGGAACAGTGAGCATCCTCTCCCATCACCAGAAACTGGACTGAGACCAGACCCAGGGCTGGCGATCTCCCAACTCCTCCCTTACCTTAAGCATATTTAACACACGCAAGAAGTCAGAGTTAACGGCCCTCCCTTCCCTCATAAACATGCAGGCCCTTAAGTCCCAGCTTTTAAGTTCCCCAATCACACTTCCTCTTGAATTTCATGATACTAACCAACAGACAAGAAATAGAACATACCAAATTGACCAGAAAATATTCCTTCAGTCTCAGATCACCTGTGCCATTCATTATCATGCCTCTCATGCACAACCTAGACTTCTGTAAGGAAATCCCAGTGGCTTCCTGCAGTAGGACTTGCTTGAGGTGGATGAATGGGTTATGTCCGCCGTATAGACCAAAAGTAGCATGCTGCTGGTGTGCAGGCAAGCAGTATCTCTCACGATTGAGCTGATACTCATCTCTTCAAGGGTACTTTGAAGATTCACAAGATACAAGCAGATGATAACCATAGATAAACTTCTACTGTGAACTGTACCAAACTCATTCCTTACCTAGATGCCTTTAACTAGCTTTGCCCTCTGCCTTGAACGCTCTGCCTCCAGAACTTCCCATGGTTCTCTCTCTCTTGTTATTCAGCTCAAATGTCACTTTCATGGAGAGGCCCTCCCCGCCAGTCTATACAAAGTAGAGGGGCTGACAGTGAAGATACTATCTCTTTTCACAATTGTATTCATGACATTTATCTCTACCTAAAGTGAACTTACTTATCTACATACTTATTATCTCTCATCCTCACCATAGTGTAAGCTCCAAGAAGGCAGAGATTGTTTTTTTAACAAGCTACCTAGAACACAGTAGAGGGCCCTTAATGTATATTGGTCAAATGAGCCAGTGAGCAGCAGATACTCTTTGAATGACTATTATATACCACTCCTGTTCTAGGCACTGGGGATGTGGTTATGAATCAAGCAAACTCCCTAAACTCTCTGTTTGCATTCTAATTCAGGGAAACAAAACAGAGAAGGGGAAGCTGCTTGGGTGGGGCTGTGCTGTATTAAATAAAGTGATCAAGGGAAGGTCTGGCTGTAGAGTTTTGAAGAAGGTGAGGAGGTAGGCCTCTGAATAAGGTGAGGAAGATAAGGTGGGGGAGGGTATGTCTTTTAGCAAAGGGGATAGGAAGTGCAAAGGTCCTGAGCAAATGGGGGTGGGGGGGGGGGGGTGGGGGCTAAGGTGGCTAAAGCCAGCAAGCTCCTGGTCAAGTGGCAGCAGATGGGTGGAGAGGTGCTAGGGGGCAGCTCTGATCCTGTAGTGTCTTTTTTTTTTTTTTTTTTTTAAAGATTTTATTTATTTATTTGACAGAGAGAGATCACAAGCAGGCAGAGAGGCAGGCAGAGATCGAGGAAGGGAAGCAGGCTCCCCACCCAGCAGGGAGCCCGATGCAGGACTTGATCCCAGGACCCTGAGATCATGACCTGAGCCGAAGGCAGAGGCTTTAACCCACTGAGCAACCCAGGTGCCATGAATCCTGTAGAGTCTTGTAGGCCAATGAAAGGAATTTGGTTTTTATTCTTTAGTCAAGTGGGAAGCCACTGGGAGGCTTTGGGCACAGAGACATGATCTGATTTAGGTTATAATAGGATCCCTCCTTTTGTTCTGGTGATAAAATATTAAATAAAAATATAAATATTTTAGGGGGCAAAGGGGAGTGCAGTTAGCAGACCAATGCAATAATCCAGGTAAGAGATGGTGGGTGGCTTGGTCCAGGGTGGTGATTGTGGGCAGGGAAGGACTTGGTAGTCTGGACGTATTTTAAGGGGGAACTGAAAGGATCTGCTGGTACAATGAACAAAGTAATGATACAAAAAAGTATATACAGAAAGAAGGCCTTTCTGGGGTTTATAGAAAAGAGACTGGTTTTGTCAGTCTTGTGACACTGATATACCAAATAGTAGCACAACCATCTAGAAATTCAGCTTCAGAACTTGGAACTTTTTGTGTCATCTATTATTTATTCAAAAGAACCAACAAAAAAGAGCAGTCAAATATATTCAGTATCAAAATCTGTACTTGCAATTAAGTGAGCTAGTTTGGGGCTGGATCGTATTTCAGCACTCTGACACGAATGAGATAATTGTTCAACAGACATAAACATTTCAAAGTAAAAAATGACACTTATCCGTGAGAAGACTGTAAAGTTCATTGGGTAGTTACAACAAGGGGAAACATTATTATGGAGAACAAAGATCTGCCCTGATTTATCCTGACTGACGATATGTACTTCAAACTGATCTGACAACCGCTCAGACTTCTGACCCTTTGCCTGCTGGGCTGCGCGGAAAGCACTTTGGATCTTATTTCAACCTTGCATTCTTCACTATAGGGCCTTGGCAAAGGGCGGTGCAGAACTATTCATTGACATGGGGATTTCTTAACATCCTCCCTCCGCCCTCTCTTCTGTCCTCGTTCTTTAGTGCTCAGTAGCGCTCTTATTTTCCGAAGTCAGGATCAGATCATCACCAATATGAAATTTCTGAATGTGTTGGGCCTGGCTGGGCTGGCACGTGGAAGGCGCAATCCAGAGGGCTCCTCGGCCTGCGGCCTGCGAAGCCAGGGAAGGGCTGGCGAGGTGCGGGAGGAGGAGTCCTCCGGGCTGCAGCGCGCCAGGTGAATGCGAGGAGGGAGGATTGAGGCACCAGGTGGGATCCAGAGGGGCCTCCACAAGTACAGGGGCCCTGAGACTAGAGGCAACCTTCAGAGGACCGCCTGGAATGACCGCGGTGCACCTGGACCTTTGAGAGGAGAAACACGCAGAGGCGGAAAGGTGGTTTTTACAAATTACGTTAGATCTGCAAAACCTGCTTATTTTACCGCGAGATTCAGCGAAGGCTGAATGGGACCGGGAGGCTCCGCGGTTCCTTCGGCCTCACCACGCCGGCAGCCTAGCCTCGAAGGCGCCACGGGAGGAGGCCTCGTCCTCCACCTTCGGCAACGCGCCACGAAGTCACTCCTCGAGCGCACCCGACTTCTCCGGGAGCCACAGCAGCTCATTTCCTCCCACCTTGAGGTCTCTCAACCAGAGTTTGCCTCCTCAGCCATGAAAGAAACTGTCGGAGAGTTTTCTACGGCTGGAGAGCGAGGTTAGTTTTCTGTTTCTCGGCTTTTCCGAGACTACTCGTTAACGTCAGTAGTATCTGGCTGCCTCGGGCCTGGGGCGGCCCCTTCGTCCCTCCAGCTTTCTGGCCTCTCTTGAGAACTTTCGGGAACACAACATCCGACTAGGGCAGCGCCACAGCTCCGAGGTTTAAAGTGGCCAGTTCCGGAGGCGGCCGGGCCGAGACGGCCACGCACTTGGACTGCCCGGGCGGGGGGAGCCGGAAAGTTCACGTCCTCCTCCCAGGCGAGGTTAGGAGGGGAGAGGGCGCCGTGACTGCCCCTCCGAAGGAAGCTGGTCCTTCGAAGCGGCCGGTCCCAAGCTCCATCCGTTTTGCAGGGGAACAAAGTTGGGCGGGAGCGTGAAGGGCTGGAGCGCGGGCCCGGCGAGGTGGAGGTGGGGTGGCGGGGGAGTCGGGTCGTCCCCGACGCGCGCGAGCCGGGGTGGAGCCAGCAGCCGGGCGCGGCGTCAGCGTTTAGGATGCAAATCGATTCCTGGCTCCGCCGGCGCCCCCTCCCGCCCGGGGGAGCAAGGCTCCGCCGCTCCACCGCCGCCCACGCCTCCTGCGCGCCGCGGCGCCGGAGCTGGCGGCTCTACTTAAGCCGCTCGCCGGCCGAGACCCGGCACTCGCCTGGAGGGCGCGGGTGAGGCGGGCCGAGCGCACCGCGGTCCTCGGGGGCGCACAGCAGCGCGCTCGCACCGCTGGGCTCTGCGCGGCTCCAGGCGGCTGCGGCGGCCGGAGCGCAGGGCTGAGCCAGAGTCCGGCAAAGGCGGCGGCAGCTTCGGTGCGCAGCCCTGTTCCCTGCCACCACCCCAGACCGCCCCCCTCTTTGCCATGGCTCTAGCGGACAGCACACGTGGATTACCCAACGGGGGCGGCGGCGGGGGTGGCAGCGGCTCCTCGTCCTCCTCGGCGGAGCCGCCGCTCTTCCCCGATATCGTGGAGCTGAACGTGGGGGGCCAGGTGTATGTGACCCGGCGCTGCACCGTGGTGTCGGTGCCCGACTCGCTGCTCTGGCGCATGTTCACGCAGCAGCAGCCGCAGGAGCTGGCCCGGGACAGCAAAGGCCGCTTCTTTCTGGACCGAGACGGCTTCCTCTTCCGCTACATCCTGGATTACCTGCGGGACTTGCAGCTCGTGCTGCCCGACTATTTCCCCGAGCGCAGCCGGCTGCAGCGCGAGGCCGAGTACTTCGAGCTGCCCGAGCTCGTGCGCCGCCTCGGGGCGCCCCAGCAGCCCGGCCCCGGGCCGCCGCCTCCGCACTCGCGGCGCGGGGTGCAGAAGGAGGGCTCGCTGGGCGACGAGCTGCTGCCGCTCGGCTACGCGGAGCCCGAGCAGCAAGAGGGCTCGTCTGCCGGGGCGCCGTCGCCCACGCTGGAGCTGGCTAGCCGCAGCCCGTCCGGGGGTGCGGCGGGCCCGCTGCTCACGCCGTCCCAGTCGCTGGACGGCAGCCGGCGCTCGGGCTACATCACCATCGGCTACCGCGGCTCCTACACTATCGGGCGGGACGCGCAGGCAGACGCCAAGTTCCGGCGAGTGGCACGCATCACGGTGTGCGGCAAGACGTCGCTGGCCAAGGAGGTGTTCGGCGACACCCTGAATGAGAGCCGGGACCCGGACCGGCCTCCCGAGCGCTACACTTCGCGCTATTACCTCAAGTTCAACTTCCTGGAGCAGGCCTTCGACAAGCTGTCCGAGTCGGGCTTCCACATGGTGGCGTGCAGTTCCACGGGCACCTGCGCCTTCGCCAGCAGCACCGACCAGAGCGAGGACAAGATCTGGACCAGCTACACGGAGTACGTCTTCTGCCGGGAGTGAGCTCCCCAGACCCCCTCGCGACTCCAGCGCTCCCATCCCCCACCTTCCTGCTCCTACCCCACGCCTTTCCGTTCCCCTGTCTCCCACGTTTAGTAGCTGGGCCAGGCCCACTCACGCCCCACTTGAGAACCTGCAGCCGCAAATCCTCTCGGCTTCTTCGTCTTCTTTGGACCCCGCTAACCGAGAGAGCCCAGATGTACCCCTTCCAGTGCTTCCTCTGCCCCCCTGACTCAAACCACCCCTCCCCTGGATTGTCCTTCAGTCTGGATCTAATGAGGCAGTGTGGCCACAAAGTCACCAAGTACCTGGGAATGCCAGAATTGTTCAGAACCTGATGGGACTCTGTCCAGTGTGTAGACGATTCCCTGAAATCCCAAGCCTTTTTGACTCTTTCGCGGCTCGAGAGATCAGAATTGGTAACACTGGGACTAGTTAGTGTTTTCAAAGGTCATTACGTAGCCTTTGTGACCCTCTTTAAAGGTAGAGTTTTAGAGAGCTGGATGGAAGACTCGACCTGGAATTAGGATCCCGTGGAGACAGAGACTACAAAATAAAGTTTTGACAAGTTAATAGGTAGAAGTAGGAAAAGAATCTAGTGCTGGCACAATGAAGGATCATATCTTTTCCGTGCACAATGAAAAGTCTTCGCCTGTGGCTTAAACTTGTAGAAAGTTACTCTCCTGCGTGGGGAGGCATCCTTTCTCCTTGGCTCCAGCGCCCGCTTCCCTTAGTTGGACAGGTCGACGTGGCTGCCTTTACCGGCGAGAGGGAGCAAGAGTGCTGACGCCTGCAAGGGCGAGACAGCCCAGGTCACCCAGCACTGCCGGAAGCCACCTGGCTGTGACCGTAAACGGAGCTGGGTAGCCATAATGCACGTCGTGGGTATTAGGAAAGCCCGTATTCTTGCAGTGAATGGCAGTAGGACCTTAGCTTGTAAGACGGCGGGGGTGGGGGGGGGGGGGGGGGGTGGGGGGTGGGAATGGGAGGGAGGAAGGAGGGGTGAAGGGGTGGGAAGGGAGCAGCAGACACATTCATTTATCATTTGAAAGTTGGAAGTTTGTGCCATCCGTTTGAGTACACGCACATTTAAAAAAATAGTACACACAAACATGCAAAGCATTTTGTAAAGATTAGTAACAGATCTACTCTTATCTGGCAGTTTATTGAACTGTTTTGAGTCCTAAACTTAGAAGTTGCTGATACTTACATAACCTAACCAAAGAGTTACCCAGTAGTTTTTGAACTTCAGTTTAGCTTTTTTCTGAACTTTATTTTCTTGTTGATTATAAATCCTGATTTTAAGATCTATTAACGAGCAAAATCTGTTTGGTTACTTAAACTTAAGATCTCTTCTTAAAAATCCTTATTTTCTTCAAGCCCAGCCAATGTTGACTTCTGGGCAAACCCCGAAAACCTGAAAATGCCAATTCTTCCTGCAGATGGTCTGAAATTAAGGTGGAATCTCTTTGGGTGACAGAGCTGCAGAGAGACAGAAGCACCCAGGGCCGCCCATCTGTACATAGCTATACAATGAAACGTTTGTAAACAAAGGCAAAAACAAAAAACAAAGGCTTACAAGTGGGCTCAGCAATAAAATCGTGTTTTTAGGTAAATGCAAGAGAAACAGAAGGAGACCTGGTTGCCTTATACCTTTACTCTAACATGGAATAAATCCCCACCGCATATTCTATCTACACCTTAGGTGAAGGGAAGTGAATCCTTGTCTTTTCATGCTGTGAGGCTCCTTTGGATATTCTGTGATGACAGAGAAGCCTTTCCTTTTTCATGAGTTACAGCAGTTTCTCTGAAGTATGTTTTTAAAGATTTTGTAAGAGTCGTTTTCAGTGTTCAAATTAGTGCTATTTTTTCTTCTTTTTAAAAATGAATCTTGTACTGTATCTTACTATGTCCGTAACAGATTCTAAGAATTGGAACAGTTTTATTCTTACAACTCATGTGATCCAACCTGTATATACCATATATAAACATTTTACACGAATCATTTAGTTTTTTAATTCATTTACTAATGCTAAGTAATTTCCTATATTTACCCCCAGTAACATGCATCAGATGGTGTATATACTAAAGCAACCTGTTTTCATGAGTTTCTTAGATCCTTGTCTCTGGGGACACTGGGTTAGGAAAAAATACCTGATTATAAAACTGAGTTTGCTCCATACTTTTTTCCTTGGCTATTAATTAGGTACTAATAATATGTCAGTTAACTGTCCACTTAAAAAGAAGGTACCTGTATTTTTAACCCACTAATTCTTTTTTTTTTTTTAATTGGTAAACAGATTTGAGGTCTTTTCATTGGACTTACATTTTTAGGAAGGTAAAGTTAGGTTGGTATATAAAGACTGTAATTGTAAGGGAAATGGAAGTAGAAATCCAGGAAGTTGTGTTTGCGTGTATGTTGGGTGTGTTCTCAGAGTAGGTAGTACAACAGAGCTTATCTCTTTCAAGCCTGAAATGATTTAGCAAAGTTGCTTTCTGGACAAAAGAGCATCACAGATTTCTTCACCCTATGTGGTGTTCTGTTAGATTGTTTGACGAACAACACATATGTGAGAACATCTTAGGACAGTTCAAAGCCACTGAGAGGAGGCAAGACTCCGGGATTCTGATTTTCTCTGTTAAATCTGCACAATTCCAGGAGTTATGGGACAGTGCTAAAGTTTTGTTTGTGCCACTCAAGTCTTAATGAATTTTATGTTGTAAATCTTTGAGTTGAACTATTCTGCTTCTTTGGGCACATGGATTTTACTTTCCCACACATTCTGGCTGCCCAGCAATGCTCCCCTCCCTTTGCATTATGTCAAAGACTGGGAATTTAAATGATCAGAGATCATAAACTGACTTCTTTTCCTAGGAATGACTGTTCCCTCTAAGGTTGGCAGTCGAAAAATGCAAATATTCTACTTTTAGCCCAAAGTGAAGGCTGGGTAGGAAACTCATTCTTTGCTGGGTGGCTTAGATTACTGTGGCTAGGTGACTTAGCATGGGTGCTTTTGGGTCCCTTCTCTTCCCTGTACTGTGGGCCACAGAAGGACCCTTTGTGATCTACAAAGTGGGCTGGAGTGTTACTTGTCACCTCTGATCTTGGATGGGATATTGAGGGTCCTTACCAGTAAGCCCTCCAAAGATACCATTCAGATAACCCAGGAGAATGTCATAAATTCTTCACATAATTATGACTGCATGAAACTGACCCAGTATAGCCTGCATTTACCTATGTAATGGCTTTAATGACCGTCTGGTTCATAAGTACAAGTGAGTGACATGGGATTTAACAAATTTTATTTAAAAAAAAAAAAAAGATAGTTGGCAGTGGTGGTTAGAGACACAGGTACCTCGTCCAGTGCTTTTGCACCAGGAGTTGGATAAGTTGCCTATTTTTTAAGTACATGTAGACCATGAACCATATTCAGTCTAATTTTTCAGATTGTAGTGTGTTGTGGAAAATATTCCTTAGAGGTGTGAGACTTGGAAATTTTTGGAAACTTTTTTTCCCCTTTCGTACTGTTTTTATTCTTGTGCTGCTGCTGCTTTTTTTTCTTTTCTTTCTTTCTTTCCTTTTTTTTTTTTTTTTTTTGTTGTTGGTTGTTTGGTTTTTTTTTGTTTTTTTTTTTTTTTTTTTGGCATTGATAGCAAAGTGAAAATTTGTGAAACTAGCCAAAATTGTCTTCTCTTTCAAACCAGATCCATATATGGGGCCTGTTGCTTCTCTGAGGAAATGCACAATCTGAATTCTCAGACAAAAATGGGCAACTGGCAATTCTCTAACATATCCCAATTTTTATTGGAATTTTCCATGGAATGTCATTACATTGAAGCCATGTAAGGTGAAGCTTTGGTAATTTTTTACTTTTTAAATTATGGTAAATTCTAATATTCCAAACATTTTGTACTCCACATGAAAAATGCTAAATTTTAGTGCACGTATTTAGAAAAGTATTGACTGGAGGGGTTGAATTCTGTAAGAATTTCTTTTATAGTCTCAATCATAAGTACCTTATTCAATTGACTTAAATTTCTAAAATAGTAGACTGAATATTTTTTATTGTAAACTTAGAGTAAATCCTTCGGAATTTCTTTTGTTTTTTCCTTATGATAACTCATTTAAAAAACTGAATTAGTTTTCTTAGATTACCTAAGTCTGTCTCTTGAGAATAAATAAAATACTCTTGGGTTTTCAGTGGCTATAGTACCTGGTACAGGGTTTCCTAGAGCCAGAAACAAGTTATGTTGAAGTTAATTTTTCTTTGTCACAATTGTGGACAATAAAATCTTAAAGATCTTTGAATTTGAAGATTTAGATTCTCTACTGGGGCCTTTGAAACTTAGATGGAAGAAATCCAAGCAGACTAATTTACATTAGAGTTTAATCTTGTGTGGTAGGAAGATGAATATGTGACCAAGAATTCTTGTCACTTTATACATTTTGTGGGTTCCCCCCCCGCCAAGTTATTTTGTATTTTAAATGTATTTTGAGGTATGTGAACATTAATGGTAATGTAAAGTATTTTACAGCTGTGTTTGTGACTTTATAGGCAGGTGAATTTTACCATTACTATTGAACACAAATGATGATAATTTGTTTGTGACCACTTACACATCATTAGTGACATTTAATGACAAAAGTTTAAAACGTCCATTGTGGGTGTTAATTTTGAAGACCTAAATTATATGTTGTTTAAATTTTTCCCTACATCTGAAAAACTCTTAACTGCCAAACAATGTAAGATTCCCACAGAGCTCTCTGGGATTATGCAATTGTTGAAAACATTACATGCTAAGTGATATGTATCACTGAGCCATTTTCTCAGAATAGAAGGGGAAAAGAAAAAAAAATTAACGATTATCAGACTTTCCTCATGAAACAGAAAGCCAAGAAAAAAAAAATCCCTCTGTATTTTAAAAAAGACAATTGAGACGTGCCCAAACTTTAAGTGAGAATTTCTTCAACCGTCTAAATGCTCTAGAGATTTTTGTTTTCCCTGTTTGCAACCAGTTGTATAAGAGACCTACTCGATACTGTTTTCCTCCCTGTGTGTGAAGTAATGAATCATTGATTATGTGACTTGTTATGTATTCTATTAAACACTAAAGAATAAAACATTCACTCCTTTAATTATTCCTTTTGGCTCCTGTGTATGGATTGGCTTGAACAGTGGTCTGATTTCATTTAAGGGGTTAAGTACTGGGAATGAATGCTTCCCATGTTGTGGGGCTGTTGATGAACATTGGGCCCTCAGAACTCCTCACTGTGTAACTGGCCAGCTTGGCCAGGAGTGAACAGGCTTCTGCCCCAGTTTATTGTTTGTTGAATGCCTGTTAAGGTGGGTTGTTACTCAGGGTGGAGGAAGAGTCCTTCCCATTTTCTTTGACCTCAGTCTTAGCAGCACATGCCAATTATTTCGAACGTGGGGAATGAAGGGAAAGTTGCCTTTTAAAGTTTGTAGGGGTGGTTCAGTTAAGTGTCTCACTCCTGATTTCAGCTCAGGTCATGATCTCTGGGTCTTGATATCAAGCCCTGTGTTGGGATCCATGCTGGGCATGGAGCCTGCCTAAGATTCTCTCTCTTTCTCTCTGTCTGTCCCTCCTGGCTCATAATTGCACTCTCTCTCTCTCTCAAAAAAAAAAAAAAAAAAAAAAAAGAAAAAAGTTTGTAGGGAAAAAGAAATAGAAACTTTGAGACATGCCTTAATTAAAAGTACAATTTGTGAAGATAAATTTCCACAGAATGTTGGGAGAGTATCTGCATTTTTATGATAGGGTCTCTCCCCTGCTTCGCCTCTATCAGTGGTGACCCTCCTCTTGAAAGAGAGCACAGAGCCTTCCAGACCGAGAAATCAGCCAAGCAGCAGGCGGGGGCAGCAGCCTGGTCTGCTGGGCTGTGGCACCGGAAGCCAGGAGTGGCTCGTGGAGAGGGAGCCGG